ATCTTGAGAGGAAAGCATAAGCTTACCAGAGCGGAGACCCCGAGCCAAGAATCCCGTCCCCTAATAAAGGCTGGCAGTCGCCGCCTGGGACGTGTCACCCTATGATTGGCTGTAGCTCATCCGGCCATATGACGCCACGGAATAGGCAGAGATCAAGGAATGGAAATTTACCCAGCGCCTGCGCAATAATCTTGTTTACATTCGGTGCCTGCCGGATGCAGGCGCCATCTTGTAATGGAGAATGCAGGGACGGCTCCCTACATATGTGCACTTGCACATGCTTGTGTGCCAAAATGGCATGCATGCAGAAGCCAAATGACAACTTTTAGGAAAATTTTGTTTTGACTTTTGTTTTCTTCTACCTTGTAGATTCTGAGAATTGAACTCAGGTCATCAGGGTTGGCAGCAAGAACTTTTATCAGATGAACCATCTATCCATTCATCCATCCATATCTATCTATCTATCTATCTATCTATCTATCTATCCATCCATCCATCTACATACCCATCTACCTATCATCCATCCATCCTCCCTTCTATATTGAATTAACTATTGAAAGGTAAAGATTACAGAGGCATTAGTGAACTTCTTGTGATGTGTTAAGACTTAACAATTCCCTAGGACTTTAAACCTTACTTCCCTAGAAGTTTTCTTGCCAGCACTGTTCCCCAGCTGCACCCAGAAATGTCAGTTCCCCTCTCTTCATCTTTCTTCATTCTGTGTTCACCCACTTATGCCTTAAGCTGCTAAGCAAGTTTATGTTTTCTATCATAGTTAAGTCATTCTGTTACCCTAAGTAGTAAGAGTAAATGGCCAACGAAATGCCCTTTTACTCATGTCAAGAGACACTCACTGAAGCTGCTATAGTGTCACTCATGGCAGTCTGTGGGATCTAAATGCAAGCTTTTCTGTTTGTTTTCAAATTGAACTAAATGCTCTATAAATTCCATAAAAACTCCTAGACATCACCATAACAATTTCTATAGTAATAATGGGACAAGTGATTTTATTTTAAGTAGATTTATAATGTGCCCAAACATTTATTGTGCAAGGCAATGTGAGACATTTTTATATTCTTGGTTAACAGCTGATGTAGTCATAAGCATGAAATAAACCATTATAAATAATAAAACTACAAAATACATTGAAAGAAGAGCTAAACACGTGCTAGTAGCTTATAATTTGTATCTTTTATAAACATAGCAATTACTGGAGAGTATTCATACAATGACTTATGGCTAGTGAATTTAATTTAACAATGTTTTATGGGTATTCGGTGATAACTGTTAACCGTATGTCAAGGCCTAGAGAGATGGTTCAGCCCTTGAGAGCTTTTTTCTGTGCAGCCATGAAGACTGGTGTTCAGATCCCAGCACCCGTACAATAAGCTGGGTGCCCAACAAATATCTGTAACTACAGATCCAAAGAGTCTGATGTCTTTGTGCATGTGTTTATGCATATACACACACTCATACAGACACGCAAATTTTTACGACTTGCTATGTCAACTGACCAACACAAGAATGATATCTCTTTGTTTTTAAGGCTATACATAAGCAACACAGAGAAAGCATATTTCATACCTACAAAATCTAATCCTTGTGGCTGCCACATTTTTGCTTTAGTCATCATTTAGATTTCTTCTCTATTTAATGATCAAGTTTTTTAAATTATTTAAATCACAAAACTGATTAAATCTTTGCCAGTTCTGATGTCAATGGAAATGCTTGAGTAGAGTGGTTTTTATATCAGAGAGCATTCTTGGCCTTCTCCCTGTAAGGTGGTAATTGTGTAGTCTTTTGGGGGGGGTTGTTTTGTTATGTTTTGTTTTTGAGACAGGGTCCCTCTGTATAGTCTTGGCTATCCCAGAACTCTCTCTGTTGACCAGGCTGGCCTTTAACTCAGAGATCTGCCTGCCTCTGCCTCCTGAGTGCAGGAGGGATTAAAGACATGTGCCACCATTCCTAGCTCGTGTAGTTGTATTCAAAGGTCAAAATAAAAAGACCTGTAAGTTCTTTTCTGATATGTCTCCTTTTTAAGTCGATTTCTCCCTTGAAGTTAAGATGGTGTGGAAGTGGTAAGTAAGGAGGCCTGGTGGCTGAGTTGAATTCCAGCACCGCCATTCACTTTATGTCTATGTGGCAGGTTACATGTGCTCCCCTGTCCCACTCACCACTCACCACACGAAGGTAAAGTAGCAGTACTTTTCTCATGGGGTTCCTGTTAGGATAAAGTACTCATTAGTTCCTGGAATAAGAAAGCACTATACAAAGTCATTATTGTTGTCCAACCTAAGGCCCTCATGTCACATGGGCAGCTTATGGCATGTCATAAACTAAACAACCCAGCAAGTAAATCATAAAAAAGAAACTACTGCCCTCTGAGCCCTTCTCATATCTCCTAGTGGTCACTGCCCCTCTCCAAGGGGAACCACTATCCTGGCCTCTCATTAGTTGTACTGAGAGCCATTCATAAGCCATACTATTCTGAAGTTATAAGGGACCATGGTGTAGCATTTTGTTGTTGTTGTTAATTTATCTAAGACTTTATCTATTTGCCAGGGACTCTCTTAACATAGAGTTTATGTTTTGGTTTCTAGGTTGAAAAAGCTCCTGGAGCAAGAAAAGGCTTACCAAGCCCGCAAAGAAAAAGAAAATGCTAAGCGGCTCAATAAACTCCGAGACGAACTTGTGAAACTCAAGTCCTTCGCACTCATGCTGGTGGATGAGAGGCAGATGCACATTGAGCAGCTGGGCCTGCAGAGCCAGAAAGTCCAGGACCTCACTCAAAAACTGAGGGACGAGGAGGAGAAGCTCAAAGCCATCACCTACAAATCCAAAGAAGACCGCCAGAAACTGCTCAAGTTAGAAGTGGACTTTGAACACAAGGCCTCCAGGTTTTCCCAGGAACATGAAGAGATGAATGCCAAACTGGCTAACCAAGAGTCTCACAACCGGCAGCTTCGACTCAAGCTGGTTGGCTTCTCGCAAAGGATTGAAGAACTGGAGGAGACCAATAAAAATCTTCAGAAGGCAGAGGAAGAACTTCAGGAGCTCAGGGATAAAATTGCCAAAGGCGAATGTGGCAACTCCAGCCTCGTGGCGGAAGTGGAGAGTCTGCGGAAACGTGTGCTGGAGATGGAAGGCAAGGACGAGGAGATCACGAAGACAGAGGCCCAGTGCAGGGAGCTGAAGAAGAAGCTCCAGGAGGAGGAGCACCACAGCAAGGAGCTCCGACTGGAAGTGGAGAAGCTGCAGAAGAGGATGTCTGAACTGGAGAAGCTGGAGGGAGCCTTCAGCAGGAGTAAGTCGGAATGCAGCCAGCTCCACTTGAACCTGGAGAAAGAGAAGAACCTGACCAAAGACCTGCTGAACGACCTGGAGGCGGTCAAGGGTCGCGTGAAGGAACTGGAGTGCTCCGAGAGCAGACTGGAGAAGGCCGAATTAAGCCTCAAAGATGACCTCACGAAGCTGAAGTCCTTCACTGTGATGCTGGTAGACGAAAGGAAAAATATGATGGAGAAAATAAAGCAAGAAGAGAGAAAAGTGGACGGGTTGAATAAAAACTTTAAAGTGGAACAGGGGAAGGTTATGGACGTCACGGAAAAACTAATTGAGGAAAGCAAGAAGCTTTTAAAACTCAAGTCGGAAATGGAGGAGAAGGTGGACAGCTTGACCAAGGAGAGAGACGAGTTGATGGGTAAGCTGCGAAGCGAAGAAGAGCGGTCCTGTGAATTAAGCTGCAGTGTCGACTTGCTCAAGAAGCGGCTTGACGGCATAGAGGAGATGGAAAGGGAAATACACAGAGGTAGGTCGTGCAAGGGGCCCGAGTTCACCTGCCCAGAGGACAATAAGATCAGGGAACTGACGCTTGAAATCGAGAGACTCAAGAAGCGTCTCCAGCAGTTGGAGGTGGTAGAAGGGGACTTGATGAAGACCGAAGACGAGTATGACCAGTTGGAGCAGAAGTTCAGAACCGAGCAGGATAAGGCAAACTTCCTCTCCCAGCAGCTGGAGGAAATCAAGCACCAAATGGCCAAGAACAAAGCCATAGAGAAAGGAGAGGCTGTGAGCCAGGAAGCCGAGCTGCGACACAGGTTTCGGCTGGAGGAGGCTAAAAGTCGTGATTTACAGGCTGAGGTGCAGGCTCTCAAGGAGAAGATCCATGAGCTGATGAACAAGGAAGACCAGCTGTCTCAGCTCCAAGTCGACTATTCGGTCCTTCAGCAAAGATTTATGGAAGAAGAAAATAAGAACAAGAATATGGGGCGGGAGGTTCTCAATCTGACCAAAGAGCTGGAGCTCTCCAAGCGCTACAGCCGCGCTCTCAGGCCCAGCGGGAACGGCAGGAGGATGGTGGACGTGCCAGTGGCTTCCACCGGCGTGCAGACCGAGGCGGTGTGCGGGGATGCTGCGGAGGAGGAGACCCCGGCTGTGTTCATTCGCAAATCCTTCCAGGAAGAAAATCACATCATGAGTAATCTTCGACAGGTCGGCTTGAAGAAACCCATGGAGCGGTCCTCCGTCCTCGACAGGTATCCCCCGGCAGCAAATGAGCTCGCCATGAGGAAGTCTTGGATTCCTTGGATGAGAAAAAGAGAAAACGGCCCCTCTACCCCACAGGAGAGAGGGCCTCGGCCGAACCCAGGTGCAGGGCACCCCGGGGAGCTGGTCCTAGCACCAAAGCAGGGCCAGCCCCTGCACATCCGCGTGACACCGGACCATGAGAACAGCACTGCGACCCTGGAGATCACAAGCCCCACATCTGAAGAGTTTTTCTCTAGTACCACCGTCATTCCTACCTTAGGCAATCAGAAACCAAGGATAACCATTATTCCATCACCCAATGTCATGTCGCAAAAGCCCAAAAGCGCAGATCCTACTCTCGGCCCAGAACGAGCCATGTCCCCTGTCACTATTACTACTATTTCCAGAGAGAAGAGCCCGGATAGTGGAAGGGGTGCTTTTGCAGACAGGCCCGCGTCTCCCATCCAGATCATGACAGTGTCTACGTCCGCAGCTCCCCCTGAAGTCGCTGTCTCTCCTGAACCCCAGGAAGTGCCGATGGGAAGGACTATCCTCAAAGTTACTCCGGAAAAACAAACTGTTCCGACCCCGGTGCGGAAATACAACTCCAATGCCAATATCATCACCACGGAAGACAATAAAATTCACATTCACCTGGGTTCTCAGTTTAAACGATCCCCGGGGCCTGCCACTGAAGGCGTGAGTCCAGTTATCACTGTCAGACCTGTCAATGTGACAGCTGAGAAGGAGGTCTCTACAGGCACAGTCCTTCGCTCTCCCAGGAACCACGTCTCTTCACGACCTGGTGCTAGCAAAGTGACCAGCACTATAACCATAACCCCGGTCACAACATCATCCACACGAGGAACCCAGTCGGTGGTGAGAAGCGGAGGACCCACGGTAGATCCCACGGGGAGGGGGGCTGGAGAGCTGGGAGGGGTGTTTACAGGGAGGGGAAAAAGTACATAATTTAAGATTACAGCTGTGCATTAGTTTAGGGGGTGAATATTGATTACATGGGAAATCCTAAGCAAGTACAATTGATTGTTACTTTGTTCTCTTGAAAGTGCATTAAACACACAGGCTGACTACACAGTAGGCTAAGTGACCTCAAGGTGGATTATAACTCTGGCTTTGAGGTCCCGCAAAACTTCTAATTTCTTAGAATGTGAGAGTTTTTTTTTTTTTTAACTTTTATTGATTCTTTGTGCATTTCCCATCATGCATTCTGATCCCACCTATTTCTCTGTCCCCTCACATTTACCCCCTGCCCTTGCAACCTCCCTCCCCCCAAAAAAGCAAAACCAAATTAAAAAAAAAAAAACAAGCAAACAAACAAAAGAGACTGACAGATGAGAGGGGGGGGAGGAGGAGGAGGAGGAGGGAAGGATCTTGTCATGGAAGCTGTAGTGTGGTGGTCACACAGTCTACCCTTTAGTCCATTCATCTTTACTTGCAAGCGTTCATTGCAAGTAGTCATTGGTCAGGCCTCTGGCTTCTGCTCTAGTGGAGATTCTGCTGTTTGGGATCTGTAAGTTGGGGAGACAAATGTCTTATACAATAGCACATACCTCTTAAATGTTAATTCAAACTAACAGGTTAGACATTGTGATTCTACAGAACACATTCTATAGTTTATGCTGAACTCTCTTAAGAGCAAACTCATTATTTAAATGCATGAGCTATGGCCTGTCTACCCACATCTTTAGTATCATTTACACCAATTCTCTGTGCACAGATTCAAGGCAGACTTTAAAGGGTGAATGGTCATTGCTTTGGCAGTAAAGCTTTGAGTTATTGGTTCCCTGGAGTCCAACAGCATTCAGCATTGTTAGCCTTCTCAAATGATGCCGAACTGTGTCACTGAGCAAGCTCTTGTGTCTCTGCATTTTGTAAACAGACAGTGGAGGTGTCAATCGCTGAATTTCAGAGCAGATTCTTCTGCTGTTGCATCTTCTCCCCGTTTCGAAGTTCAGATTGAAAGTCTTGTCCTCTGACTACCACTTAAGCCCTATACAAATAAGATTTACAAACAATTATGCATGATTTCTCAGCCTCAGTGATGGTCTATGTATTTAGTAAAGTAAAAAAAAAAATTAGAGCAGCAAAAAAGATTTAGTAGAACATTGAAATCAGTGAAGCTGGTTCATTTGGGTGTTCATTCATTTACTTTTTATTGAACCTTAGCCACACTTCCACCATGCTGTTTGGTGCTGGTGTGTAGAGATCTGTAGATGTTCCTGAGTCAGTGAGGCAGGACTAGGAGGACTTAGTCATTCTGTGATAAAGGTATGCACCAGAGGAGGTGTCACAGATCAGAAGGCATGGGAAGGAGTGTCTAGACAAGCAGAATGTGTGAAGGCGTGGCCATATGAAGGCACCTAGTGAATTTGGGGCATAGTGAGTGTTCCCATTGTGTTGTAGCAGTGGCTTTGGTGCGGGTGCAGAATCTACAAGCACACACAGGGATTAGTTTAGTTAGTTTAGTTTCTCTGAATAAAGGCAGTCACTGAAAAGTTAATGAATGATCCTGAAGATATTTTACACTATTTATGAAAGGTATTTCTATCAAACATCTGAAGGGACCAACAGGAGAGAACACAGGCTAAAGACAAAGTACCGCTCCAAGTCTCTAGGCTAAAGATAGTATAGGATTAAAGGGTGGTAGCGGCAATGTAAATAGGGACATATTGAAAATGAAAGTGAGAACCAGATATGGTGATTCATGCTAGTAATTCTATCACCCAGGAAGTGGGCAAGAGGGCTGCCGGTTTAGACCAGCCTGGACTGCACAGTAAGAACCTGTCTCAAAAGGAAGAGAAAGAACAAGAATTTAAAAGATTTTACAACAGAGTACATGCAGAGGGTGGCTCAGGGGTTCCTGTCTTTGCTGTATAAGTGGGGTGAGAAATGTAAGATTTGCTGGGCAAGCAGTGTGACACTTTCTGAGATACCTGCGTGATGCTGTCCATGCCCAGTGAGTAGTTGGAAACTAGTTTTGCACTTCAGGAGGGACCGGAGGCTAGAGGTTCTAGGGCTTGGATGCATGGAATTTACAAGCAAGTGGATTCTCAGGGTAGAAGTGGAACCCTTAGTAAAAGGCCTGGGACTAAGACAAGGTGACACATCTAGGAGGCAGGCAGGGTCGAATGGACCATCAAGAGGAGGAAGGACTCATCAGAGCTTGGAAGCATTGGCGACACATATACAGAGACCAAAGCAATGCACTGTGAGGGACATTGTGAGAAGGTGGGTGTGGTCAGAGTGCCAGTTAAAAAGTCTGAGGTCATAAATAGGTGAAAAGAGCCCCTTCCTCTGAAATGACAGGAAGAAAGGACAGTGGCAAGTCTCTAAGAACTAGGCTTTGAGGTTATCTTGTGCGGGGGGTAGAGAAGGTGAACTAAAGTTTGAGAGGGAAATTCAGCATAGATGTTTCAAGAATGGGAAAAGGAAAGGATTCAGAGTAGGTTAGACATCAACTTCAGCTTTCTTAGTCCTTTTCCCTGGGACGGATGCTCCTTTGTGGCAGGAATTATGCTAATGCACAGGTTCAGGGCATGACTGGGAAAACTCACCAACATCCCTTTTGTCCATGTTTTTCTCTTACAGTCAGGACAAGATGGGTCATCTCAGCGGCCTACACCCACCCGCATTCCTATGTCAAAAGGTATGAAAGCTGGAAAGCCAGTAGTGGCAGCCCCAGGAGCAGGAAATCTGACCAAATTCCAGCCTCGAGCTGAGACTCAGTCTATGAAAATAGAGCTGAAGAAACCTGCAGCCAGCAGCACTACCTCTCTTGGAGGGGGGAAGGGCTGAGGGCAGTGGCTAAGGGGGTATGTTATAAGGATGCTACTGCTGCTGTGGAGACAGACCTGACTCTGTGTGTGCCAACCCTTCACATGTACTACTAATTTAAGTTTTAAGTATCTTGTTTATAAAATAACCATCTAATAGTCATGCGGTTTTCCTATTTTGTGCATTTGTTTCAACGCAGAGAAATTGAACTGATTAGCAGAATTGCTGTTTGCTGAATGTTTTGTTGAAGATGCTGGTCCTGAGACAGAATCTGGCCTGAGTTTAGTTTTGCTTCTAGCATGTGGCCCCATCAAATTTAGCTTATCAGTTAAAAAGCCGTCAGTGAGATTTAGGGGCCATGATACATGCTCCTGAAGGCTGGCTCCCAAATTTTCTAATTGTAAGTCAAGTTTAATAGACTTAGTTCTACATTTGTTCCAAAAAAAAAAACAAAAAACTATTTTGAAATAAGACAGAGTTTAACAATTGTCAAATCTTGAGTTTGATATATGTTATGTAAGGGAAAAACTTTCAAAGCTATCATAGGGCCTTTCAAATTTGGAAAAACAAAAGCTCCTAATATGACGTCAGGAAACAATTTGAACATGAAATAAAATGGAGATGAACTGTGGAATCTGAAGAAGAGAGTTTGATTTATTTGTGTGTGTTTGTGTGTATTCTAGAAGTTGTGGCCATCTCGAACCACTCCCAGCATTTCATAGACAGTAACTTTGAACCATTAGGCTCAGAGTTATGCTCTGCTCAAGTGTGCAATTGGTTGCAATTGCAGAACGGTAGAATAGAGCTGCCAAATGTCCCTTTAAAAGCTCTACAGAAATAGTGACGAACAGAAAACAGGAGAAAGCAAGTTCAGACACGTTAATGCCAAGGAAAAAGTGACATCATCCATAGCTTAATTGAATTCAATATTTTCCTTAGTTAAGTATGGACTCTGTTTACAAATGTAGAACAGATCATGATTTGGGGTGTGTGTGTGCCTGTTGGTATGTGTGCTATGGTGACATACTTTATTATTACTGTCAGTTTTACTCATGTTTGAATAATTTTCTTTAATTTTGGAGCATGTTCTAATAAGCATGGGACAGAGTGTAAATTCAGAATGCCATGTGTCTGTGAGATTAACCTTGAAAAAGTAGATTTTGTGCTTCATGGTTCTATAACCACAAATGAGCTCCAGACTGGTAAACTACAGCTTAGCATACAACCATCTCATGCAGGCCATGGCTTTGCCAGAATGTCTGAGCCACATAGGTGAACTTTATAAAATTACAGCAACCACAGACTTACAGATTTGTACATTTTCTTAAATTTCTGAATTCTTAAATTTCCAAAATCACACCAGGCGTTGGTGGCGCACGCCTTTAATCCCAGCACTCGGGAGGCAGAGGCAGGTGGATCTCTGTGAGTTCGAGACCAGCCTGGTCTACAAGAGCTAGTTCCAGGACAGCCTCCAAGGCCACAGAGAAACCCTGTCTCGAAAAACCAACCCCCCCCCAAATAAAAATAAATTTCCAAAATCACGTGGGATAGCACACAGTTTTTGGTATCAGAGAAAGGCATATTGGAAAAAAAAGATGTGTGTTTTGTTTTCAGACTGTGAGCCAATGTTTCATGATGAAACACATCTCTGCATTCCTTTCTGTAGCAGACGCCTTATACCCCACAGAAGGTGCATTGAATAGTATGTTCGATGGTGGGTGTGGCCACCTCCAATCATCTCCACACACTTTAGGCATATCTGCCAACAGCTGCTCATTGGTTCTCAGTGAATATATGAAAATGTGTTTAGCAACCACGTTAACAACAATCCAGAATACTGGGTCAGGACGGTTAAGGAGAAATAGAGATTAGCTAAGACGTATGATCTTTGGACAAGTTTAAACAAGACAGTTTGACAGAATACTGACTTGTGTTTCAGAAAGGATTTTCTATACTCTAATCAATAGTCATCCAACCCCTTCAAAGACAAGGGCATTCTTTGTTTTACTGGTGCCTACCTCGTGTTGGTGAGGTGTGAGGTGATACTGTTCTATGATGTCCTTCGCTCGAGCAATGACAGTGTCCACTATCGTGCGCCTTTCGACTCTGCTTGACCTTCTTTAAGTGACTTACAATCTCAGTGTCATTTGCTGATCTCCCAGCTTTTACCTGCCCACACCATGGTTACTTCTCTTCCTCCTGGAAGTTCCCATCACCCCTGGGAGGGTGCTCAGAAAGGCTTCACAGTGAATGTACAGGATGTTTGTGTGTGTAGATCTGGCATAGAGCCGTGTACAAAGCACAACTGCTAAGACAACTTAGCAGAACAATACATAGTCATTCAGAAATGACAAAAAGTAACCTCCAGGGAAGTTGCTCTTTGTAAATTTAGAACCAACTGTACATTTATCGGGTAGCTTTGTTTTAAAGCACACATTATAAGTGGAATACACAGGGGATAGGAAGTGGAGGATTAAATGCAGCCCGGCTCCATCTCCCGTTTTAAGATGCTGCTTAATGTGCTTTTGTAGGAGTGAATGGGCTAAAAGTCTAGACTCTTTTCTCTGCTGTGAATCCTACTGTATGCTAAAATAAAAGCAGTCTCACAATGACTGATGTGTATAACTACTGTCCGGATCCTGCAGTGAGAAAGTCTAAGAGGTAGGACACACGTCATTCCCAGTTTCCCTGGGATAATGCTTTCTAGGATGTGCTGGTACAATCCACACAGCTAAAGAGGAGACCCTGGTCTTCCACACCTGTGAATCCACCACTGAACATACCGAGGACACCATGATGGCGACTTCCTGCCACACATGGTCCCAGCAATGCTCTGGTACTGGCTATTGCTACAGCATGTCTCTCACGTCAACGCTGTGAGCTTCATATGTAGGTCATTTGCTTAAACAGGGCCACTGGCTTGCTATCATATTTGCAGGAGGACAGGTTGATGGAGATAGCAGTTGGGTCTCTCTCAAGTTGTTAATATATGTCATCAAAGACCTCAGCAGATCCCTTTCTTGGCTGTTTTCAAGAATGAAATGAAGACCCAGCATCGAGGTGTAGCCCAAGGAGAGTATAATTTCAGTGACGAAACATACCCATGAGTGCAAAATGTAAAGAGGACTTGGCTTCCTCATAAATTCAGAGTACTGAGGGAAGAATGAGACTTCTGTGCTGAGCAAAGCATAGGAACATAGGTGAGAGGAGTGCCCGGGGGCTGCTGAGATGGTTCTGGGCTGGGCAGTTGTCTAGCATTGTAACATCCTAGTTTTTATCTGAAGCAATACAAGAAGGGAGATAGTGCGTTAGAGGCTGAAGAACAGAGGGAGGGAGGGAGAGAGAGAGAGAGAGAGAGAGAGAGAGAGAGAAACAGAGAGTCTCTCCCTTCCCCTCCCCCTTTCCATAAGGGCTCTATCACTGTGCTACCTTCCTACCCTTAAACTCTTATTTTTAGCTGTCATTTCTAGACAGGCAATAAATATACCGCAGTGTCTTCCAGTGTAGCAAACCTTTCTCTTCATCTCTGCAGGCTTGTGCAGCCTCTACTGCCTCCATCCATGCCAACCTAAGCCGTTGACAGGATGGTTAACATGCCCTGCCTCTGCTCTCACACTTAACATTTCCTTTTTTATTTTTAAGGGTGCTGCTCTTTAATCATGTGCATTCGTGTGGGCAAATGCAGGGGATTGCAGGTGCTCTTCATAGGCCAGAGATGTTGGATCTCCTGGAGATGGAGTTATCAGAGGTTGTGAGCTACCCGTTGCATATTGACCTCCAGCCCTCTGCAAGAGCAGTGCTTGCTCTTAGCTGCTAAGCCAGCCTCAACAGTTACTCTTGAAAAAAAAAATCCCTGCCATTGTTAAAATATCAGTCCAGGGCAGAAGATAATAAAAATAGTCATTCCTTACTTCCCCCCCATCCAAAGTTTTCCTTGGGGAGCTCTTCTCCAATTCTTGCTCATTTCTCCGTATTTGTATAATGTCCTAGTACCCTAGCATCTTATTTCTAGATATTAGATATATTGTATCTTCCTATTGTTGTTTTGGTGGTGATCATTTAGGCTTGTAATTTTTCCCTTTTACCTGTCATCTCAACACAATCATGTTATATTTATTTTTCAAGATCGGGTTTCTGGGTAGCCCTGGCTACCCTAGAACTAGCTCTGTAAATCAGGCTGGCCTTGAACTTACCAAGATCCATTTGCCTCTGCCTCCCAAGTAATGGGATTAAAGGTGTGTGCCACACCACTGCCTGGATCATCCCACATATTTTTGAGAGAGCAATTATATGTTTATAAAATGTGCACAGTGGAAATCTGACTATGGTTCCCTGATGAGCCAAGTTGTACACTAGGAGTGTGCTCTCTCCTCTTGACACTTCTTCCAAGGAACAATTACTTTACTCTTTCATCTGTTTGGTTTCCTATGTGCCTATTTTAGCTTTCCCAAACACTCCATTTGGTCTGCCAAACACTGATCAGTAATTTTTCCAACACTTAAACACAGCAGTTTTCTATTTCTCCCCAAGAGGCCTTCCCAGTGCAGCCCTCTGCTTCCCTCAAGCTGGACTGATTGTCCTCCAAGACTGCTGCCCAGCTGTTGTCCTTTTGCATGAATTGAATCCAGACTCCTCCCCTCTCCTCTCCTCTCCTCTCCTCCCCTCCCCTCTTGCCCCACATGAAGAGGTCAGAGGACAATTTTCAAGAGTTTATTCTCTTTCTACTGCAGGTTCCAGGGACCTAACTCTGGTGCCAGACTTGTGATCTAAGTGCTTTAACTTGCTTTTATCTTCCAGGTCTTGGACCCTGTTTTCTTTTATTCCTGTCTTTCATGTTCTGTTTCAAAATGCATTTTTCTGTAGTTTCTATAG